TGGGATTACAGTCCACATTGCCCAGCCAGCTGACCACATACCGGACGGGCCACCACGAATCTAGGGTGAACCTTGTAGCCACAGCCACCCAAGGAGGCAGCTAGGCCAGGGGGCTGCCCTGGGGGAGTATAAGGTGAAAAGGTGCAAAATCAAGTCTGAGGCCTAAGTTCCAAAATAACAGCTGTGCAGAAAGAGATCAAGTGGGCTCAGCTTGGAGGCTGTTCATACAGAAAGATCTAGTTTGTTTGTTTTTTTTTTAATATGAAAAGTAAGTAAATGTTAGCACAAGCATCTTATCTTGATGTCTAGCACATAGTAGCTGCACAACTAATGTTTGTTAAAATGCAATATGAGACACAGCTACAGAGCTAAGCTAACACAGCCTCAGGTCATATCAACAGAAGTGCAGAGTCTACAGTGAGGAAGGTGATTGCCTAGCCTCTTATCCCCCATCCTGGGCTCAGTCCCGGGTCCTGCACATAAGAGGGTTTGAACAGACTGAGAGAATCCAGAGGAGGGGATGCAGAGACCACACCCAAAGAGAAGTGGCTGGAGGAATGGAGCACTCAGCAGAGGGATGAGCATCTCAAGGATTCCTCAACGAGTCCGGCGTAGGGGGCTCAGATGGGCTGTGAGCCCAGAGGGACCTTGAGGGAGTCACCAGGACAGATGCCAGCTCAATATAGAAAAGAATTTCCTAAAAATGAGAGCTGTCCAAGGCCTGGTCCAAGGTGGGCCAGGCTGCCTTGGGTGGTGGTGAGCACCCCATCATGAGAGGCAGGCAAGCAGAGGAGTGGCAGGGCTGGCTGAGACGTCCTTAGCTTAGGCTCCATTAGTCTCTCAAGCAATAGTCTCCAAAGGGCAGGAAGAAAACGTTATTTATATCTACCAAATTTGTGTGTGTGCGTTTGTCCTTTTTATTTATTTATTGTTTTCTTGTGGTAAAGGAGCCCTGGTGGCACAGGGGTTAAGAGCTTGGCTGCTAGGCAAAAGGTCGACAGTTCAAATCCACCAGCTGCTCCTTGGAAATCCCATGGGGCAGTTCTGCTCTGTCCTATAGGGTCTCTATGAGTCAGAATCGACTCGACAACAATGGGTTTGGTTTTTTGTGGTTTATTGTAGTAAAAATATATATAACAAAACATTTGCCAATTGAACTTTTTTTACATGTACAATTTAGTGACACTAAGTATGTTCACCATGTTGTACCATCGTCACCACTACCTGTGTCCAAGTTTTTCCATCACCCTTAACAGGCGCTCAGGGCCCTCTGTGCACTAATGCCCTCTGTTCCCTCCCACCTGCCTCTGATCACCACTAATAAACTTTGGTCTCTGTACATTTACCTATTCTAGATATTTCATATAAGTGGGATCATATGATATTTTCCTTTTATGACTGTCTACTTAATTTTTAACTAAAAATAATTAATACATAGTTCAATCCTGATGTGCACCCTCGGCCCCTATATCAGACCCTGCATGTCATGTGCACTAGGTGGGGTCCCCAGAGAGGGCAGTGGCTAGCCCCGCCATGCAGGCAGGTCGACTGTGGCCACCTCTCTCGTTTTCCCAGGTTCGGCATATTGCTATATGTCGTAGTGTGCAGGAGCCTGGTTGGGTGGATTTAAGAATCAAACAATACAATCTTAATTGAATCAGCCCTGAGGAGTGGGCAAGTGGCTTCAAAGAGTCCCTGCAATGAAACCAAAGGATAGAGATAACTCTAATCATGGAAGTACAAGCAAGAAACAGGAAAAGTGCAGGACAGACCCGCCTCCTGCTCCTAGTTCTAGTTCTGCATCAGCTACGTTGCCATATCAAAAACAACAATCGAGTCAATCTCACACACAAAAAAACTGTTTATTGGAATACTAAGAACACCATTTGAAATGTAGATTTACATCCATTATCATTGGTGATGGGGCCCTGGTGGCGCAGTGGTTAAGCATTTGGCTGCTAACCAAAAGTTCGGCAGTTTGAATCCACCAGCTGTTCCTTGGAAACCCTATGGGGCAGTTCTACTCTGCCCTATAGGGTTGCTATGAGTTGAAATTGACTTGACGGCAATGGGTTTGGTTTTATTTTTCATTGTTGGTGATAGGAGTCCCTGGATGGAGCAAATGGTTAAGCACTCGATTACTAACGAAAAGTTGGCGATTCAAACCCACCCAGAAGCACCTCAAAAGAAAGGCCTGGCAATCTGCTTCTGAGAGGTCACAGCCTTGAAAACCCTGTGGAGCGCAGTTCTACTCTGACACACATGGAGTCACCCAGGACCATAGGTACACAGTTACATATTTATGAAAACCCTATAGAGCACTTCTACTCTAACACATGGGGTTGCCACGAGTCAGAGTCGACTTGACAGCATCCGGTTTGGTTTGGCGTTTTGGAGGGCACCTAAATAATTTTTCTTGATAGGAGTGCACAATTAAAAAAGTTTGATGACTGCTGTTCTAGATCCTTAGCCCTAGATACTAGGGGATGCCACTCTTTGTTTGGGCTTTTGGGTCTGATTAGAATTTGTCTTAGAGTTAGAGACAAAGAAAATCTAAGGGGTGGTGTGCCCCAATAAAACTTATTTTGAGGCCTCAAAGCTACGTTTGAAAATTAATGGGAAGAAACCAGAAATTCTTTCCCTGGCTCTGACTCTCCAAGATGGATGCCTATTTCACCAGAGCGAGAAGTCAGGGTCCCCTCTCTCTCATGTCATTCTCTGTCTCTCTCTCTCTTTCACACACACGTACAACACGTGCACACACACTTGGCAACAACAAAAACCAGAAGGGAGGTGCTCAGTGCCCGTGAAGGAGCTTGCCGGCTCTTGCATGTCAGACAGTTCTGGGCTCAATTCCTACCACTCCCCACCTCTACCCCTCCCTGACTGTGGGACCTTGGGCAAGTCACATGCATTCTTGAACCCTCAGAATCCTCCCCTGTAAGAATGGGCATGCCTACAACTCAACAACAAAAGGACAGACAACCCAATTTAAAAATGGACAAAAGACTTGAGTAGATGTTTCTCCAAACAAGATGTTTATGTGGACAATAAAAAAACCCAAAACCCAAACCCACTGCCTTCGAGGCGATTCCTACTCATAGCGACATGTTCAACATTATTAGTCATTAGGGAAATGCAAATCAAAACCACATTGACATACTACTTTACACTCACTAGGAAGGATAAAATAAGAACCACAAACAATAACAATTGTTGACAAGGATATAGAGAAATTAGGTTGCTTGTGAGAACGTAAAATGGTGCAGCCACTTTGGAAAACATTTTGGTGATTGCTCAAAATGTTAAACATAGATTTACCATGTGACCTAGCAATTCTTCTCCTAGGTATATACGCCCAAGAGAATAGGAAACATATGTCCATACAAAATCTGTACACAAACGTTCAGAGCAGCATTATTCATAATCATCAAAAAGTGGAAACCACGAAAATGTCCATCAATGGAAGCATGGATAAACAAATTGTGACATATTCATACAATGGAATATTATTCAGCCATAAAAAGAAATGGGGTATTGACACATGCTACTACATGGAAGAACCTTGAAAACATTCTGCTGAGTGAAAGAGCCAGACACAAATACACAAATGACCCTATAGTGTGTGATTCCATTTCTATGAAATGTCCAGAGTAGGCAAATCCATAGAGACAGAAAGTAGATTAGTGGTTGCTAGGGGCTGGGAGGAGATGTGGGGGAGGGGGGGTGGGAGGCCAGGGGGCATTAGGGGTGATGGATAAGAGGTGTGGGGTTTCTTTTTGGGTAATGAAAATATTCTAAAATTAGAGTATGGTGATGGTTGCAGAACTCTGCATAGAGTTCTGAATAGACTAAAAAACCACTGAATTGTGTACACTTTGTGAATTTTATGGTATGTGAATTATATCTCAATAAACTGTTATTTAAAAATAAATAAAAGAATGGGCATGGCCCTTAGCCCGTAAGGCTGTTGTGAGCGTGAGGTGACAGGGTGGACAGGTAGAGCCCAGCATGTCCCTGGCATGTAGCAAGTGCATGAGAGATGTGTCTTTAAGAAGGTGGTTTTGAGAGGATTTCAAAGCACAGGCAACCTAGTGTCTCAAAGGGCTACACTTGCCAGAGTTCTAGAAATTTCAGGAGAGAGTCTCATTTATAGATCTGCTTGGTTTGGACCCCACACTTCACTCACCACTACTCTTCCTCCTACCCCTCACTCTTGATTCCCTAGTTCAGGCTCTGAACTTTTCTGGATGGTTTCTAAACAAAACAAAATCAAATGATCAGCAAAAGCCCATCAACTTTCTCTCCCCCCTTAAAAGAAAAACAGACTGGCTTTAGGCCCGAAGGCTGCCTCTGACAAGGCAAGCAGAAGGCAGAGCAGGAATCCGAGATGCCTGCCCTGAGGTGCGGTGGTGCCGGGAACTGGGGAAGGTGGGGGCTAGGAGGGACCCACCAGCCAGCCCCTCCCCACCAGGCCACACTGCCTGCCTGCCTGAGGCTCTGAAAGTGCTTTGGATCTTCATCCTCTCAAATCTTCCAGGTCTGGTAGGATCTCAGGGGCCCATGGCAGAGAGATCCAGACGTTTAGATCCAGAGGGTAATACCCTCATCCTCCAAAGGCCCCACAATGGCAGTGTAGGAGAAGCCTTCGTTTCACAAATAGGGAAACTGGGGCTCACAAAGGTCAAGGAGTTTTCTGAAGGTCCCACAGCAAGTTAGTGACAGCATCAGGAGTTGGTCACCTACTTAGGGCCAGGCACAGACTGGTGGAAACCTCAAAACAACCCCAGGAGGTGAATATTTGTCATCTCCCTCCTGCCCCATTTTTCTAGAGATGGAGACTGAGGTTCTTGCACAGCTAGGAAGATGCAGAGCTGGGTTTCAAACTCAGGTCTGCCTAGGAACCACAGTGTGTCCAGCCTGTTGAGAACACTTTTTCTCTGACTCCCTGAAAAATTAGCTGCCCATCCCATCCCTTCCCTGGCCCGGCATCTCATTACCTGTGGTTCAGCGGCCTGTCTGGGCTGCCTGGCGAGCTGTGTGCACTGTGCTGAGGCCAGGCTTGGCCGGGGAGGATGGCAGCGGGAGGTCAGGCCCGCAACATGGGGGCGGGGCGGAGGCCGTGACGTGTCTGGGCCCCACTCACTCACCAGGGTGACATTCCTTCCGGCTTGTGCTATCGGCCCCAGGCCTTCCTGCCTGACTTGACACTTTCTCACGACACCCCAGGAGGAGCAAGTGGGGGCAGCTACATCCCAGGACCCACCCTTAGGACCACAGCCATGTCCTCTGACTCCAGGGGGCAGTGGGTGTGAGGGCAGTTGTGCCACCCTTGGCTGTGTCAAGCTCTAGGAAGAGGGTCGGTCCTGTCACAGGCAGTCCCCCACCACTTCCACCAGCTGAGGCTGACTCAGACCCCAGCCATGTGGGCCAACTAGCCCTATGGGCCCCAGCAGGGAAGACGTTGTGATATTCCTGGGAGGGACATGGTTGTGGCTTGGGAACTCCTGTAAGCTGGTACTGGTGGTGCTCTCCCTGGCTGGGGAAGCTGGGCCAAGGCTAGAGGCATTTTGGGGGAGCACCCACCTGCCTTATGCAGAGTGGAAACACAGGCTGGGAGTGGACCATAGAGGAACCTCACCCAGCTGAGGCCAGGATATTGAACCCAGTCAGCCTGCCTCTCACGCCCATCTCAACATGTGATGACACCTCCTCTGGGAGCCTGACAGTGAATAGGACCTGCCGCTGCCCCAGGGAGCACCCAGCCTGCATGGAAGACAGGCCAGAACAGGCCCTATGAGAGGCAAGGCCCAGGGAACTGGGAGTTCCCAGGAGGGCTTCCTGGAAAAGGAGACACTCAAACCCTGAGCTCAGGCCAAAACTCTTGGAGTCATCCTTCACTATTAGTTCTCTCATACTCTGCATCTGACCCATCTGGAAAATCCTGCTGGCCCCACCTTCAAGCTATCCTGAATCTGGGCCTTCTCTCTGTCTCCACAGCTCCCACCCCGGTCCAGCCAACATTATCACTAGTCTTCCTGCAGCTGCCTTTGCCCCTTAGGAATTGTTCTCACCGTGGCAGCCTAAAGATTTTGTTAAAACCTGTCAGTTCACATCCCTCCTCTGCTCAGCACCCTCCCATGGCTCCCACCTCCCTCAGAGAAAACCCCAAGTCCTTCAACCACCTACAAGGCCCTGCACAATCTGCACCCCCACCTCTTGCTGTCTCTGACTTTAATTCCTACAACTTCCTCCCTCACTCTACTCCAGCCACACTGGACTGCTCTCCCTCCTCAGGGCCTTTGCACTGGCTGTTCCCTCTGTCTAGAATGCTCTTCCCCCAGGCAGCCATGTAGCCATGTCACTCCTTCTCTCACTTCTTCAGATCTCTACTCTAATGCCACTTTCTCCAAGAAGCCTTCCCTGACCACCTTGTATAAAATAGTAGCACTGGCACCACCTTTCCCTCTCACCCTGCCTTCTTGTTCTGCACACCCTCATCACCAGCTGACATGCTATGTATTCGCTTGTGCACATTTCCTTGTTATATATTTCTTTGCTCCAGGATCTAGGACAGTGCCCGATGTATAGTAGGTGCACAATAAATTTTGTTGAATGAATGAGTGACCTGAGGGCTAGACCAAGAAACAGGGAAGAGGACATTTCAGGCAGAGGGAATCATATGTGCAAAGGCTTAGAGGTAAGAGGCACTACTGTGCCTGTAAATAATTCAGTACAGCTGGGGAGTGGGGGCCTTGGGGGCTGGGGAAGAGGGGAAGGAAAGCAAGAGAGATAGAGCCTCAGAAGCCAGGCCAGGGAACCAGGACGTTACCGTGAGAGTGAGGGAGAGCCAGACATGAGGGCCACCCATGGTCAAGTCTGTGTTCTAGAGGACCATCTGGGTGCTGCACTGTGGACTGAGGGGGAAGCTATAAGGGGCAGGCAGCGGGGAACATGAGCTGTAGCAGAGAGATAGGGACTTGGAGGGGTCATGAGATGTTTAGAGCTGCGCTGTCCAAAACAGAGCCACCTTGACTCGATAGCCCTTGGTGAGTAGGAATTAAGATGAGCTATAATGCACAGTACACACTGGGTTTCAAAGACTTGTTACGAAAAGAAAAAAGTAATATAAAATAGATCATTCATAGTCGCTTGTATTGATCATCTGTTAAAATTCTAAGATCATATATGTTGTTGTTAGTTGCCAGCAAGTCAGCTCAAACTCATAGTGTCCCTACGTACAGCAGAAGGAATTGTATGTGTATATACATTGAGTTAAATAAAATATATTGTTAAAATTAATTTCACCTGCTTCTTTTTACTTTTTTTTAATTTAGCTGCTAGAAAATTTAAAATTACATATGTTGCTCACAATATATTTCTATTGGGCAGTGCTGATCTGGAGGGTAGAACAGGGTTTGGGGGTTGATGGACAGTGGGGGTGAGGCAGACGCTAGGTCTAATTGCAAGTCTCCTCTCCCCTCCAATTGTTTCTTGCTGATGAGACCATGTAGTTCAGAGGCAGAAAGAACGGGCCACGAGGAGAGCCTACAGAGGTGGTTTTCAGCTCAACACAGGCACACATACTCAAAATTCATATCTTCGAAGTAAAAACTATCGAGAAATAAAACAGGTTGACAAGAGGCAATGAGTCCCTCATCACTGAGGGAATGTAAGAAAAGTCTTGAGGGCCACCATTAAGCAGGGGAAAGATGTTGAACTAGATTAGTTATTCTCAAAGTGTGGTCAACAATGTCACCCGAAAACGTGTTAGAAATGCAAGTTCTCAGGCCCCATCTCAGTCCTACTGAATCAGAAACTCTGAGGGGTGGGACCCACAATCCGTATTTTAACAAGCTCCCCTAGGTGATTCTGGTGCCTGCTCAAGTTCGGGAACCACTGGACCAGATAATACCTCTCTGAGCCTTAGTTTCCTTCTCTGCAGCCCCTGTTGTTGTGTGCATTGTTCAGATCAGGACTGTAAAGCCCCTGGCACAGCTGGGTGCACAGCCTCAGGGCATCTCCTGCCTATCTGCTGTGGGCCAAGACAGCTGCCAGCTGGAATACAGGCACCCTGCTCAGCAACTTCCTGAGGTGACCTCACTGCCCTGCGTAGGGGTGATTCATGGAACAATCGCCCACCATCCTGTGAGCACAGCTGACTGCCCCACGGGAACCAGCTCAGCAGCTGAGATGGTATCGTCTTCCCTGCATTCCAGAGCTGCCATTCAGGCTGCCTGACTCAGCAGCGCGTGCACTCTGCAGACAACAGTTAGATAGCTGGGCCTCAGTCTCCACATCCTTGAAAATGGGCAGATGGCAGCCCCAACCCATGGTGAGGATCTTTGTATAAAGACCTTGGTCCAGTGCCTGGCACACCATCAGCCTTCACTACACTCTGGCATACTTGGGGTTAAGGGCAGGGGTTCCTCAGGCTGATAGGAACACCCCAAAGACTTCTGGGGTCTGAGAATTATGCCTTATAGGGACAGAAAGAAAAGAATATGCACCTACTCTGAGCACCCATGAGCCTGGTCGTTTATGTGAGTTTTTATTTAATCACCAAATGAGTGAATGTGAGGGCAGGGACTGTCTTAATCATCTTAAAATGTCTATTAAATGAGCCCTCTAAATCACCACTCATCTGTCAGTCTGTTGCACTGTGGTGGCTTGCATGTTGCTGTGACGCTGATAGCTATGCTGCTGGTATTTCAAATACCAGCAGGGTTACCCATGGTAGTCCGATTTTAGCTGAGCTTCCAGAATAAGATAGACTAGGAAGAAAGGCCTGGTGATCTACTTTCAAAAATTAGCCAATGAAAACCTTACGAATCACAACAGAACACCGTCTGATATACTGCTGTAAGACGAGCCCCCTAGGACTCAAGCATACCAGCGATTGCATTGTGAAGATGACGTAAGACCAGCAACACTTCATTCTGTACACGGGGTCACTACAAGTTGGAACCAACCTGATGATAACTAACAACAGCAACAACTAAATCAGGGGCGTTGTCTCTGTTTCGTAGATGATAAAAGTGAGGATCAGAGAGGTAGAATGACTTGCTCAGGTTCATACAGCTGGGAAGTGGCAGAGTCAGGATTTGAACTCAGAGTCTCCCTAACTCTAAAGCCCCAGCTCTTTCCATTCCACCATGGAGAAATTCCAACCTAGTCTCCCTGTTTAGAAGCTCTGGTATGTACTGTTTAAATCTGTGCTTGTAGAGTTAGCTTCTGGTCCAGGTCAGAATCTTCGCAACTCCACGTTCTTTGAGAAACAATGGTTGTAGCTGATGCCCTTTGAGATGGAGATATTCCTAAATCTAGATTAAGCCTGACTCACTCTGGGCCTCCAGGCCTCAGTTGTTTCACCTGTAAAATGGGAATAGTAAGAACCTGCCGAGGCTGGAGGCAAAAAGTTGGACCGGGGATCCTGAGATCTCTCCTAACCCTCAGATGCCAGTGTTCCAAGACCTACCTCAGAGAGCAAGGACTGAAATGAAATTAAAAAAACAAATGAAAAAAAACAGGGGGCAGAGGGAAAGTCAACCACTAGGTCATTCTGACAAGTGCAAAATGAGGGATTCAAACTCAATTTAAGTGGTTTTCAAACTTCTCATTCTTTTATAGCAGAAACATCTTTTGACAAATAAACTTAAGAGACATCCTAACAGACCAAAGTAGATTTTTTCTGGTTGAAGAAGGAGCGGTGGGGCTGTGGAGGGGCCACAGCCCAGAATCACCACTGCCTTGGCAGGCAGCAGTTGACAACCACTGGAGGTCAGCAGTACAAGTCGTCCCTGGAAATTTCTATGTGGTTGTTAGCTGCCATTGAGCTAGCCCCACAACTCATGGTGATCTCATGCACAACAGAATGAATGAAAGACTGCCTGGTCCTGCGCCATCCCTATAATCGGTTTCGGATCGGACTGATGTGATCCACAGGGTTTTCACTGGCTGATTTTTGGAAGTAGATTGCCAGGCCTTTCTTCCTAGTCCATCTGAGTCTGGCAGCTCTGCTGAAACCTGTTTAGCATCATAGCAACATGCAAACCTCCACTGACAGACCAGTGGTGGCTGCACATGAGGTGCATTAGTCGGCAATTGA